ACACACACACACACACACACACACACTTGTTCAGAGCTCATAATCATATATTTTACAGCATATTTTGTCCCCCTTCAGTTTGGAGATGTCCTGGTAGGTGTGTCTTTGGTGTTCAAGGCTTGCTTTAGCTGCCTGTGTAACAGATAAAATTCACAGGCAACTTAAAACAAGCCTCGAAAGCCAGACTGAATCCACTGGAGAAGTGAAAGGACGAGAAATGGATACATAAACGTCCACCTGTGCTCAGTCTGAGGACAGAAATCCACTGGAGGAACATTCAAACTTAAAAGTAAAAATAAAAAAGAGTAAAAAAAAAGTCATTTATCTGAGCTAGAGCCCATAATTTATAATATAATAAGCAAAGTTAGCATCAGCCGGTAGCCAGGTGGTGTAATTTCTCACTTGTAAACCTAAAGAGTCAAAAGTGTCACTGTTAGAAAACCCCACAATAACCACTGGACTCAATTTGTTACTTGATAACTTTAAATATTCAAATCGAATGAAGCAACTTCATATTTTCAGCTGTAATTCTAAACCACAGACTAATCAACCCTGCAAACATTACGAAAAGCTGTAACAATGAAGTTTTCTCTGTAAAGTCTCGAGCTTACCTTGGTGCTCTGAGCTGTGCAGCTGTAACTTTCTTGTCTACTCAAGTGTCACTCCTCTGTAATCCGCGCTGCAGCGGCTTTAATCAGTCTGCAGAGGAATGTATATTTGAGAAAGGTGTGTGCTGCGTGGTTACACATTTATATAAAGATCCTGTTTTTTGGGTGTGGGACTGTGTAAGCTTTTTGGGGGGGGGGTAACACGGAATCCCATGTCCTGGACCAACAGGAGGAGTGGAGGTGGAGGTAAACACACTCCAGGAACCCGGAGTGCGACTGTAAGATCAACATCACAGTGACACATCAGAGTGAGCAAACAAATGCTAAGCTACTAGACTTTCAAATGAAGTACTCACGGCATGCAAGGTTGAGTGTAATGCTGTATATGCTGTTCACACTATTAAGGGCTGCTTTTAAATATCTCTTGATTTTATACTGCAGAGGCTGCAGTTTTCATTTGGATCAAACTGATCGATTAAGTTGTGAAACCTAAAATGTATCTAAACTTTTATCTGAAACTAAAACATAACATTTATGATGTTTTGTCTCTCGGGGAACTCCTGCTGTATTTTTTTACTAAGTTTGTTAGCTTTAATAGCACTTTAACACCATCATAGCAAAGGAAGTCAGTTGAAATTAAATAAAAAAAACACTCACGCCCATGTTTTTTTTTCTTATTTACATATGTCTGTTAAGGAGTGTCAGCTGTCTAAAGGTGCTGGCTTTGAGTGGCCAACTGCCACATGTTGCTTTCACGTTGCCTTATTGGTCAGTTTGCCAAACTGCGCCTCAAACAGTTGAAAAACAAATAATAGAAACCAAAGTGATCTTGTGCTCTTGTTTATTGGAAATAAGAATACAGTATGACAAGAACAACATTATACATCCTAAAGCCTAACAGAATCAAATCTTTCCAGGGATGTTCACTGAAAGGCCAAATATGCACTTCAAATAAACACAAAGCAAAACCTGCCTCTGAGAACAACTTCTTCATAGAGCTACAAAGGTTTTGCAATGCTTGGACACCTGCAGTCTAACTGCAGGTACAGATTAATAGCTTAGTAGAAGTCGAGTATTACAGCCAGTTTCTCTGAGCTCTTCATTTCCATTTATTCTATTTGGGTTGATAAACTTTCATGTAAAAAAAAGAAAAAAAAAGAATACCGACAAACAGTGTCTAGTTTTGAAGAAAAGCCTTTATTTCCTATTTCAAGAATTTCAAGAACATGCTTCAGCATGATAGTAGAAGTAGGTACTTAGATATCCATACATGCAGAGCCACAGAGTGATAGAAAGAGTTTGTCCATCTACTGTTCTGTGACAGCGATCTGTCCAGGGTTCAAGTTGAGAGCGCGATTATGGGGAGGGGTTTTTTCTTTCTTTTTCAGGTGGGGTCAGGCCGGCAGTGTGGAGGCTTAGTGCTGGATCCTACGAATGGACTGCACCTGGTTGGTGTGAGCCTGGGTGCTGTACTCATTGTAGTTTCTGTACTCGCCTTGGTGTCTATCTCTCTCCAGGATGTACTGGTAGCCACGGTAACCAGGGAACTGGTAGGCAACCCAGCTGTAAAGAAGGAGGGAGGGTTAGAGTCGAGGTCACATCAAAGGATTCAGTAAAGCATCTTAGGGTTCTGCTAGTCTTTAAAGTTTAATGCACCCTGGTAAATTCAGTACAATTACAAGGTTGAGCCGTCATATATTTTATAACACTGCACAAAGTCAGGAGACTGTGTGCAGCTTGTCAAGCTATATTTTGCAGCAGCGTGTTAAATTAAAAACTAACTTGAGTAAAATAAGAGCACAATATGTAAGTAAAGGCACGTGCACGTGTTGTTTATTTTAAGGAAAGACGTTGAACACAGAGAAAAATGTGTAACTTACGCTCCTGAGTTGACTTTGATAGAGGGAACCTCCTTGCTGCACCAGCCCATGGCCTGTAGGGATGGGTAGTCATCGCACAGCTCAAACTTACGGCCCTGGAAGTCTTCACACTCATACATGGTCACCTTGCTGTCACTGTGGTTCTGCAGAGAAGCAAACAACTCATTTAGAAGCTGTTTTATTACATTATAGTTGGTAAGTAATTAGAGAAATAAAGAGGACATTAATGCTAAGAACCATGGGGGTTTTATTCAGGGTTGATTAGAAAACATATAGAACCTATGGCTCCATATTTATTTTAAAGGAACAACAGACAAGGAAAGAGACCTTTAAAAAATACATTTCTAAAGCTAACAGAGGATAGGAAGCGTCACAGGATGAGTAGCCTGTAAGTGATGCATTAAAATAAATATATGCAAACACATCTGCAGGATTCACAAGAAGAAGGAGGGAGGTTAATGTCTCAGGAGGCGTGGAGAAGACAGATCGCTTACGAAGACTGATTGATAAAAAGAGAAAACAGATAAATGAAAAGGAGGAGGGACTCACAGCACACTTGATGGGTCTGAAGGAAAGCAGGTGCTCGGTTCTGTAGCTGCTATTTCCGCTCCAGGCCTCGTAGCGAGGATAGTCTCCCTTCTCCAGGATGAACTGCTGTCCCTGGAACTCAGGGTACTCATAACCCACCCAGCTGAGAAAAGAGACAGAAACACTGAGGTTAAATGCGCTGGAAACGACAGAATAATCCCCAAATAAAAAAAAAAGAACACTAAACAATAAAAACTTTTAATGGACGACTAAATACACAGCACAATGATATTGACACTGTCGTCCTTCTTAAACAATAGAGTCCAGCGCTCACAAAAGCAGCATGCAGCTCCTTTTGTGACTGCAGAGCACAAAGCAAACATTAGATACTGCTCCTGCCTCCACCGCCGCTGCCGGCTGTACCCACCCCGGCCTTTTTATCTGATCACGAGTCACAGCCAGCAGCTGCACGCAGCCAACTCATATCCCAACAGGGACACACTTGGATGCATGTACACGCACACACACACATGCAAGCAGTACATGCCAAGCAGCAAACTAATAACAGCGCAGGTTATAATTTAGAGTTTTTGTTATTCTGTCTGCTCCACTTCTTGATTTCACTCCTGTCTGCTTTAGTCCGACCTTTTCAGGTCAGTGAGATTCAAATTTCAAGAGAACAAACATGAATGTACAAGATGTTGCTACTGAAATATAAAAAGAAAAAGTGCTGATCCATAATGAGCTTACACTTATAAACAGCTTTAATGTGTCTTTCACTTACGGTCCATTCTCCACCTTGATGGAGCGGATCTTGTTGAAGCCCCTCTCCATGATGTTCTGGCACTCCAGCATGAACTCACAGCGCTTTCCCTGGAAGTTCTCTTCCTCCCAGACTGTGATCTTAAACTGGCCCATCTGCTCCATCTGTTGAGTGTTCATGGCTGCTGCTTCTCCCTCGGGGGTTACTCTCTGAACAACGTACAGAGTTTAATAAAGACCCTCAGCATAAAACAGATTAGGAATAACACCATCATACGATCACAATCTCTAAATTATCCTAAAACTGCAATCTTTATCTGGAAGCTTGGAGAAAAATCTATTTTTAGCTCACTCTCCAAAGGTGTCACAAGTGAAAAGTTCTATTCATTCTTTACTTTTCCATTTCCTTAAAGCACAGATTCAATCAGATGGAGATTCAATCAGCAACCAGCTCATAAACTGCACCGTGAGACTCCAGCGTGGCAGATAGAACCACTTCCAGCCAGAATCAGAGTGAAAGCTTATGAAGTTTCATCTCTTTCTAGTCTGGCTCGTTTGATTTTGTTGTGATGGAAAAGCACACAACACTGCACTCAGATAAATGCCTGCATTGTCTTTAAAAGCCTCACACAAGCACACCCGAAAGGCATCATCTTGCCAGCTTATTATAGGAATACACAGCTGTCCTCATAATAAAGTTTTTTTAATGTTAACAAAGTGCGTCTGTAATAGACTAACTACCAAAGCCACAGTGTGAGGAGCGTCTCGCTGCCTGTCGCTTCCACCTAGTACACAAAGCTGTCACCGTCACTGTTTCTTGCAGCTAAGTCTGAGGCAGTGCTGAGATACTTACAGACGGTACTGAGGTGGGACAGATCCAGTATAATCAATGTCGGGGGAGAGACCCTCGCCTGTGTTTTTATAGGGCTGGGCCCCCTGGACCCGAGCCACTCCATTTGCCCAGCAGCCTTGCACACTCAGCAGCTGAGCGGGCCGGCTGAAAGGGGAGCATTAGCCTCGTGCTTTGTGGAGGCTCCAGAGCACCATTGTCCTCAGAGCCCCAAACTGACTTAGTCATCAATATGGCAGCCACGGTCAGTGGCAACCTGACCCAGGACTATACAATGGCAACGCACTGACACAACAGTTTGATTGGTGTAGCGGGATAATAGACACATTCTGGGAGCTGATCCCCTCCCCCTCCCCCTCACTCCCTCACTCTTTGCAGTAGGTAAACTGGATCCTAAACTCGAGGTGGCAAAGGGTCCAAGGAATGCCGCACACTGAGCCCAGGACATGTGTCACTTTCATCTAGGACATGTTTTTCTTTCTTTTCCTCCGGCTCTGGAAAGAACTGGAGGATGAAGTGCTGTAGGAAAAACTGCAGTGCTTTGTTTTTCAGATCAGGATCAGACCAAATCACAGTTTTCATTATACAAATGAGTACACATAGAGGTGTATGATACACATCATACACATAAAGAAATTGTCTTTAGGCTGATGAGTCCACCTACATGAGCATTCTGACGTACACTGAAGAACAAACCATGATCTAAATGTTGTACGTTTTGTTGAAAAAAGCTTATTCAGGTTTATTCTACTTTTAAATGTCATCTGGCTTTTTAACAATGCTGATCAAAGCTGTATTACAGATGTAGTAATTATATTTGCATGTTTTGCCCCATTTTTCCTATTTTTATTTTTATTCTTTGAAGCTCCAAAAATGTGTATGAATGGCCTTTGACATTTAATGTTATAAATAAAAACAAGCTCAACGTACTTTGTATACCTTTGTCACCTCTTATTAACAGAACAGGCTTTATTGTCTGTCTGTCTTTATTTGTCTAATGTGAGGAGATAACAGCTCCACTGCTGACTGAAAACTGTTGAACAGTTCATCACATGCGGACCACGTTAAATCTACAGGCATCACCTGTCCTTGTGCATCTCTTACATTTACATTTTTGCAGGTTTGAACACATGATCATAACAACAATGATTAAAGAAGCGGTTGAGTTTTCCTTCATCATTGGTGACATCTAGTGGCTAAAACGGTTATTACACAGAAGCTGGCAAACATAATAAAGTGAACATCATGAATCGAATTAAGGTTGACAGTTAGTTGAGTCCGTTTCTCCGGTTAATTCAGTGAAAACTTTCCAGTTTGTGTGGGAAGCGGAGGAGTAAATATTCCTCTTTTCTCACTAAACATACAGTAAAGAGCTCATTTTGCTATGACTGGGTATACGCCGTGTGTCTGTGCTGCCTACTTGTACAAACAGCTCTGTCATTGTCTGCTGATAGCCCATTCATTGTCCCTCACTCCACATGTGTGTGTGCATTAGCCCGTGTCACCCAGCCTGCCTTCAGAGCAGGTGATGGCAGGTGAAAGGAAAGGCTTATAAAGACACAGATGCTCTGTGTGTAGGTGCACATACTACATCATGAACTGTTTACACAGACATGTTGTGGGGACCTGCCTCCCTTTTGGGCACAAAATCCATATGAATTGTTCAGTTTTGAAGAGTAATGACCCGGTGTACCCGAACACGCTAAAACCTAGGTAAAATAAATGACATATCCTTACCTATGAACACAAACCTGACACTGACACACACCTTATTTCCCTGTTAAATGCAGCTGGTGGGGATTTGCATATATGAGGGGCAGTGTAGTGCAGCTCAGAGCCAGTACAGTACAGTTCTACTTTGAATCCTTATCTGTCTGTATAACAAATCCATTCATTTCTTCCTGCTGGTCATACGATAGCGCTGCTCTGCTGACCGGCTGTAGGTCAAGTTTAATAATAGTTCGTCAAGTCGCAAAAGCAAATTCACTCTGCTAACTTATAAATGCTTTGTCTAAGCAGCTACGAGCTGCACCAGCTACACAGCACACAGTGATGTCGTTTAACCGCTTTAACTCATCACTGCTCAAATGATATTTTCACATGGGCAACACAGAAAGACAGTTTAACATTGAGCTTAGTTTAGAGTGAAAGACAAACAAAATTATCATAAAATAACTGTCATGAAATTATGCACAGTATATGCACAGTACTGTGGCACACATAGGACATATTTATTTTATTTTCTCCTCCTCTTTTATCAAAGGAAATACTTGCTTCTCCATTTGTCTTTTACGTTTTCCAGATCCCACAATGACCCGTGATTGGCAGAGGTCACAAGTTCACCCCTTCATTCATTCACCCAGTCAAATGCAAAATATTGGTGGCAAAGACACTGAGAGCTATTATCTGATGACCGCTCTGCATTGCTGGCTAAAGGTCATGGAACATTTGATTATTTCACAGGACTCGGTGCCAGCTACCACCCCCACGTACGCTTTCCTGAGGCTTAAATTTGGTATTACACAATATTAACACACATCCACGTGTGTTTTTTATTTAACAATAAATAATTAAAGTGGATTCTGGTGGTAATTTTCATATTTTTATGCACCAGCAAACTGCTTGGTATAATGGTCCTTTTTCCTATTAAACAGAGGTACCGAGGGGCGTGATGGAGCAACGAGTAGTATTTACTGGGAAAGTGTAAATAAATGTTTCAGTGTTGTTTACCAGCCCTGTCCCTGCAATGTACAACAACTACAAGATTCTGCATTGGGATAAAAGTGACGTTTGTGAAACTAATGGCAAAAATAGATATTAAACACATAGTTTAATATTTAAATACAACTTCTCAAACATATCTACATTTAAATAGATCAGTACCTATATGTTGGAGTATAATGTTATATTCCAGGTGTCTGTCCCT